GATTGGGAGGTGGGGTTGGGAGTTGTTGGAGATGTGTTTATTTTTCAATCTTACCAAAAATCATGGATTGAGAGATTATTTTGGAAACACCTGAAGATGCTCTAAAACACTCTTTTTAGAATTTTCGTACTTGCAATTTCTATTCTTTGATGTAAAATCATAATACGTCTTTTGTGTGCAAATTTATAATAGAGCTTCGTGTATAAGCTTACGGCACATATTTGTTTTGGCAAGTACAAGAGTACAGTTATAATACACCTCATAACAACTTATCTATGTGTATGCATAATAATATATTAAAGAGAGATGGATACTTCCAACCTCTTTCCTTACTTCCTTCAATGCCCCTACGTCCATCCCTGTACCCTAGTCCTAGTTGATGACTCATGCTTGTACGAGTTAGAACAACGTGCATCCAATAATGATATAGGGTCCGTTCGTTTGCCTGAATTCTGGAGGAATTTGGATGGTTTGGAGGAATGCTGGAGGAATTTGTGAGAGAAAAACACTGTTTCAGATAAAAAAAAACGGATCAAGCTGGGTTTAAAGACACGCAAACGTGGCCATAAAGTACCATTCCAAAACACGTCAAACGACGGTACGGAGTTCCATTCAAAACATATTGTTCAGCCAGCAATCGGAGTCTTCTCTTTCGAGTGACGTCGCTCGGGCCTGCTTCGAAGACGTCACTGTGTTCAGTGTCAAGCCAAACCAAAAGTTCGGATCAATCTCCCAGCCTCTTCTCCTTCGAGTGACGTCACTCGGACCTGCTTCGAAGACGACGTGACAGACTCGTGAGCTCCTAGGCCCGATCCGCGTGAGGACTCGGGAAGATGTTTCATACGTACTGTAGTGCCCAAGCCACCCACCAGTCGAGGGTGTTAAGCATAGAGAGGTCCAAAGATGGTGGTGCTCCGGATGGGACAAGGGCCAGTGGCCTCCGGACATGGGTATGGTATAGAGCACATCAACAACAGTATCCAACAACACAAAGTGCGCAGCACGCAAGTGCTGACCCATGTCAACTAGGCCATGTTTAGTTCACCCTAAATTCTTAACTTTGACACTATAAAAAAGAAGATTTTTCGCCACATCAAACTTGCGGTATATGTATGGAGTACTAAATGTTGACGAAATCAAAAACTAATTGCACAGTTTGGTTGTACTTTACGAGACAAACATTTTGAGCCTAATTAGTCAACGATTAGATAATTATTACTAAATAAAAACAAAATACTACTGTAGCTACACATGCTACACAAAGACAATACGAGATGTCACCACCATCACCTTTAGGGTTATTAGCTAGACGACCATAGTCAATCATCGTACGTTGTGACGTACGGAGGAGTAGATGAAGCCATAGCATCTAAAAAAAACTACGATCAGACTAGACCGGGACCGGACCGGAAAAAATATCTACCGCCTGAACAAAATCTAAATACGACCGGACTCTACCGCGGAAACAAAATCTCTGGTAAAAAAAATCTCTATAGTTGAAAAAAAAATCTCTACAGTCGGACTAAAAGATGATCGGACTCTAGAAATTACTCGACCAGGCCAGGAAAAAACACTACCGGAGGAACAAAATCTCCTCTTTAAAATACAATAGGACTCTGAAAAGTACTCGACCGGACCAAAAACAAAACACTACCGGAAGAACAAAATCTCCTTTTTTTAAAATATGATCGAAACTCTCACTCTGGGAAGGACTCGGACAGGAATCTGTGATCGGACACGTCAGTTCTTTTATTATTAGTACTTGTTTTATACCATAATTTAGAAAGAAGAATCGCATGGACTCGAAGGCCTCTAAGATCATGTCATTGATGAATCAATTATGAGCAGGTTGGTATCAACTGATTCGAATGCAACACTGAAATCGGCTTTCCTCACATAGCGCCAACAGATAACGGTAAAGGCTACGATCGACGCTGGGACGAGACATATTGGACTCTATAAAAGGAAAAGATTAGAGTCCAAATTATCTTAAATTAAGAATGTTTTCTCTAGGACCAAAGACTGTGATGAGTCGTGCTTAGATAGGAGTCATGCGTAGGGCCCGGGTATAAATATCAAATCCCGGCTATTGTAAAAAACACACAATCAATCCAATACAAGTTATTTACTTTTTTCGACTTTGGCCACCCCTTAGGAGTAGGAGTAGAGTAGATCTCGATGAGTTCTTCAACAAATACGGCTGTATCGATCCGGTCGACCTTTACTACTTGTCTGTAAGTACCGTCATGGCTTATATTTTTGTTCGTACGGCTGCATCGATCTGGTCGACCTCCACTGCTTGTCTGTAAGTACCGTCATGGATTATACTTTTGTTCGTACGGCTGCATCGATACGGTCGACCTTCACTACGACTCTGGTATAAATTAGTTATTAATTCTTGTCTAGTTCAAGTAAGGCTGCATCGATCCGGTCGACCTCCACTGCTCGAACTAGATTAAGGTCAAGTTATCGGCTCTATCTAAGGGTGACGTTCATTCGGATAGATTCATTAAGTTACCGATATTGCTTATTGCTTTCATTATTTATTTAATTACAGCAATATCACTTCGCCCGATTGGGATTGATCTAGATCGGCCTTATATCTTATTTAACCCATCGTTTATTAATCTAAACTGATCTAATCTGTACTTTAAACGATGAGTTATGTTTTATCGGCTGTTTTATATCAATCTTGATCGTGCATAGCGTGTGGTTAAGGCATGTCTGATCTTGAGTAGATCTATTGGCTAGCGAAAACTGTTCCATGGTCCGTTAGCACGACCTGTGTGATTCTGCCTCATACCCCACTGTTAGCACCGTGGAGTGGGGATCATTATTTGGTAGATCTGTTCCTGAGAGGGCACGACCTTAACTGTGCGCTATGCCTGAATCGACTGTTTAGCCGATATCGAGTGCTTTCACAAACAGTTCACATCACGAGATCGTTGAAGTAGGGATAGGTTGAAAGATGTGTTAGCCCCATGATCTTATTATTGTATTACGGCATGTATGATTTTACCACATGCCCCACTGATATTAGTGATAAGTTAGGGTCGTCGAGTCTATTATTGTTTCTACGGCCTGCATGATTCTGCCTCATACCCCACTGGTCATAGCGATAGATGAGATCTAATATGTTCATTAGATTTATCTTTATTAAATGTTTGAATGGTGATGAGCTATTTCTTTTATATAAAAGGGGTTCGGTTACTTGCAGTCATTGGCTTAGCATAAATTAATCATTGTTGACATCCCTTTGCCATTGACCGATATTTGTCTAAATAATGATATTTATCCTGAACGATAACTGATTCTTCTTACACAGTCCAATGAATTTTAACTACTTTATTCATATGAATATATCGGAATCGACTATTTAGTCGATCTCCTTTCATATCGGCTCTCAGAGCTGCACATTCGAGACTGTCTGGCAACACCGGCACGTTCCGCCCTAAATTACTGATAAACTTTCTCTCCTTGTCAATTGCAGGGTCAAATTGACTGGCACGTCTCGGAAGGAGTGCGCAGGATTGACCACCTCTACGCTGAAACTAGGCGGATCTCCAGCTCCATCGAGCGGACCCTTTCGGCTTGCTCGTGTGCCCTCGACATGGGACAAAATTTCGTGCCGACAGTTCTTTTTTTTTGAAAAGGGCCAGTTGGCCCGGCCTTCTTTGGAGGCCATAGTAGTACTGTTCTGTTCTCTAAATCTGACCCCGTTCGGCTTACCCCATATCTGACTTATTCGGCTTCTTTTTTCAGCCGGAACAGTGTTTTCCAGCCAATTTCAGCCAAGATTCAGCAAGCCGAACGGACTGTTTCTCGTACACGATAAATTCCACAATCAACGCAAAAACATAAAACTCCTCATTTACTTGTCCAAAATGATTTAATTTAGCAAAACACCAGCCATCTATTTTATTTTATATACTACTCCGAGTTCAAATTATACCCTCTAACATCCACTTGGTAGTTATATATTTTATTTCAACGAATGGGAACGAGCTTATGCCTATTTTGTTAATTAATGAAGTAGGAAAATTTACAGTACATTTAGAAAAACGAGGAACAAAGTAAAGTTATTCTTGCGGTGAAAGTATCGCTACCTATTTCGCACATTCTGCAGTCCACACAAAAATTAACAAGATTGAAATGTGAATAGAGTAATTTTTTTACTTCCATTAACTTCTTGCTGGTCCCATACCTATAACATCAACATTTTTTGGTCCCATACCTATGACATTTGTAGCACTTTAGATTCGTACGTAATTTCATATATTAACCTGATTGCTTCACAAAATAACAAAAAAAATCCTCAAAAAACATGATGTTTTACCCAATGCAACCGGTAGCACAAACAAATTTTCTCTTATTTTACAAATATTGTTAACCCGGTACAACACATAGATATTACCCTAGTGAGCTAGGCCCATCCGATTCGAATCACCTATTGTAATCCCTACCCGAGTGGATTGGATTTCCATTCAATGATGATGAAGATAATAATGTGCGCCGAACATTTGAATCTGGACATGGGGGAAAATAAGGATCAAATTATCGTCACGAACTGAACGTGCATGAATTAGTCGAAACCAGTACAAACGTGAGACAAGCAGTGACGCGGCTTAATACGACGCACCTTCTTCCTCCGGACGGGAGAGAGCGAAGCGGAGAGGAGCGCTCTCGCTCTCACGCTCGAATTGACACTTGTTTTCCAGTTCCCCCGCCCAAACCCAGAAAATTCCCCACGTGCTCCCGCGCCAAACCAGCCACGTTACCGATCCCCTAGGCGCAGCTCCTCCCCACCGGTCAATCCCCAAGGCATGCTTTGGATGTGTTTTCGCTCGCGGCCCCCCTCCGTCTTATAAATACGCGCGCTACACTTCAAACAAGCGGCAGCAAATCGCACAAAACCAAAAATTCGGCCGAAGCGAGCCAACTGATTCGAACAAACGAGCGCCGAGAAAACAGGAGGAGATAAGCAGAAGCAGAGGAGCGCCATGGCAACAGCAGCGGTCATCAGCGGCCGGTGGACGCGCGTCCGCACGCTCGGCCGCGGCGCGTCGGGCGCGGTGGTGTCGCTCGCCGCCGACGAAGCCTCGGGCGCGCTCTTCGCGGTCAAGTCCGTGCCCGCGGGGACGTCGGCGGCCGAGCACCTGCGGCGCGAGGGGGGCATCCTGTCCGCGCTCCGGTCCCCGCACGTCGTCCCCTGCCTGGGCGTCCGCGCCGCACCCGACGGGGGCTTCCAGCTGCTCCTCGAGTTCGCGCCGGGGGGCTCGCTCGCGGACGTGGCGGCTCGGAGCAGCGGCGGCGGGCGCCTCGGCGACGACGAGCGTGCGGTGGCCGCCTACGCCGCGGACGTGGCGCGGGGCCTGGCGTACCTCCACGCGCGGTCGCTCGTGCACGGGGACGTCAAGGCGCGGAACGTCGTGGTCGGCGCCGACGGCCGCGCCAAGCTCGCGGACTTCGGGTGCGCCAGGGCGGTGGGCAGCTCCGGCTCCGGCTCCGCCTCCGCGCGCCCCACCATCATCGGCGGCACGCCGGCGTTCATGGCGCCCGAGGTGGCTCGCGGGGAGGAGCAGGGCCCCGCCGCCGACATCTGGGCGCTGGGCTGCACCGTCGTCGAGATGGCCACGGGCCGCGCGCCGTGGAGCGACGTGGTGGACAGCCTCCCCGCGGCCGTGCACCGGATCGGGTACACCGACGCCGTGCCGGAGGTGCCCGCGTGGATGTCCGCCGAGGCCAAGGACTTCCTGGCCCGCTGCTGCTTCGCGAGGAACCCGCGCGACCGGTGCACGGCGGCGCAGCTCTTGGAGCACCCGTTCCTGCTGGCGTCAGCAGCCGGCTGCGGCGGCGTCAAGGCGGAGGGGGCGGCTGCTGCGGCGGAATGGCGGGTGTCTCCCAAGAGCACGCTGGACGCCGCGCTCTGGGAATCCGACGCCGACGATGACTCCGATGACGAGGGCGACGTGTCGGAGAGCCCCGCCCAGAGAATCAAGGCATTGGCCTGCCCCTGCTCGGCCTTGCCGGACTGGGATTCCGAAGAAGGCGATTGGATTGAAGTGCTCGGTGAGCAATGTGAGGCCACCAATTTGGTACCACTACCAACCAAAGATGTGGCCGGCGAAGACGAGTGCCAGCTCCTGAGTGAGGTGTTGGAGACAGAGGTTGATTTCCTCGACGCCGGCGGAGAGGGCGATGATCCTGAGTGTTTTGTAGCTGTAGGATTAGCTACTGCTCCGTCAGCTGAGCTGCAGGAAGAGCAGTGTAGGGGTCGCAGTCGCTGTAATCCAACTGTATTTCTTACTGAGGCTTGTTGTCACAAGATTGAAACGTCGAGCGCCTATTTTTTTATCCGACGAACGGTATTTTTCTCTCACAGCAAATCAGCCAACGGCAGGAAGATCTTTTTACTGCAGAATTGTCCCCTCCTAGCTCCGTCTTCTGTTCTCTACTATTCATTCATTCTGCTAAATGATTATCCGTTAAACATTGGTCCACAAATAAATTCTAGAACTGCCTAACTGGTGCGATGGATGCGACAATTCCAGAATTGTTCTGGTTCTAGACCGAGGCGGCGACGGCGAGGCGTTGTGAGTTGGGAATGACCGGGGAGTACATCCCCTGCCCATGGGGCCATGCTAAAAGTAGTGGCCAGATCATACCAGTAAAGGCAATTTCCAATTTGGAAGCATCGCAATCTGGGGATTTCTGGCCAAATCCTTTCTTTGGGCATGGCATTGGCCACTATTTACAAATCGTTCACCAATCCTCACCCATCGAGCAGCCATTGGCGCACATTCGGCGCCTGATTCTCCAGCTGATAACGATGAACTCCGCCGGCTTAGATGGCGGCCGAGTTCCAGTGAGCTAGCGAAACGGAGCACTCCTACTGCGTACCAGTGGGGTCTCGTCGTCGGCGAGGGACACTGGCCTGAGCTTCTGAAAAATTACTCCGCTTTATCTGGATAAGTCTGGACGTGTTGGCACGCGGCCTGAATGCCTGATACTCGTTGCAAGCGATGGCCAAGTGGCGCTTTCTTTCGAACCTGGTGGTGTGCTTCTCATGCAAATATAAAAAAATAAAATGAAGCTGGCGTACACGTTTGTTTGATAGAGTTCATACAGTAGGTGCTACTTGGCACACGTGGAAACAGATATGGGAGGGAGGTCTCTTGAGCCTGTACAGTTCGTCAAGGTTTACTCACCCCGGCACGTGTCGCGACCTCTGGGAAAGCTCTTCCTTGAGACTTCTGCGCTCGTTTCTAGCAGCAGCAGAAATAGGCTACTACTAGTAGTTGATTCCCGACACCCATCTCAGCTCTTACGTCACCTAAAATCGATTAATTATTAATAATAATATTCTCCACGCCAACTCTTTGCTGGCTGGTGTTTGTACACCATGGAAAAATATTTTTCACAAGAAGAAGATTAAAGCCGCAGCAAAGAGTTTATTGCGTATTTAAAGTTATGAGAATCGCTGAATATTTGCGCGCAAGCTATCTGGTGTTTCCGTAGCCTGTTCGCTTCGCTGAAAAAACGAGCCGGAACAGTATCACTGAAAAAACGAGCCGAAACACTATTGTTGTGAGAGAAAAATAATGTTCCGACTAAAAAAACAAACTAAAAAAGATGGATTATAAGAGAAGCGAACATGCCGTAGTGCAGACATGTGGTCATCCTCAGAGGCGAGGTCATCGCCATCCACAGCTAAAGGAAAAGGGATTTGGTGGCCTGCACGACAGCCTCAAATCGTAAGCAACCTTGCTGTGCGCTAACTAACGGAGTACCTTACACATCTCAGCTCGCCTTTGCCGCTCGTGTGTTTCTTGAATCTTGAGAGCGGAGCAAGAGAACGGAAATGCGTGGCGGACTAGTTTACATACGCGGCCGCCTCCAGAGCCCCTACATGCATCGGTGTAAGCTCAGCTCAGGAGCGCAAAGGGCACCCAGTGTGTGTGATGTGCGGCGTTCGGTAGGTGGCGTGCGTCCAACTGCCAGGTCAAAAACGCATGGCTGCGGCAGCGGAAACGATCTTTCTGCTCCGCGCCAAGCAAGGTCGTCGTAGCGACGGAGATTTGACCTGAGATGGGCGATGGCAGTTGTTGAGCAGCAGGATTCTCGTGCAGAGGTCAGCCGAAGGAAGGATCGTCCGATCGCGTTCAGCTCACTGGTTGCGTCACTCGGGCTTGTTTAGATTGTAAGTTTTTTCACTCTCTCCATTATATTAAATCTTTGGACACATGCATAGAGTATTAAATGTAGATAAAAAAATAACTAATTACACAGTTTGATTGTAAATTACGAGACGAATCTTTTGAGCCTAGTTAGGCCATGATTGGACAATAATTGTCAAATACAAACGAAAGTGCTACAGTGCCAAATACTAATTCCTAACCCCAGTCTAAACAAGGCCTCGCTAAGAATTGACACAAGGGATGTCAGTCATCCAAACGGATGGCCCTAAATGTAGAGTAGTTTTTAGTGTAAAACTAATGAGTTGTTAGTCTCTCCTAGCGGTCCATATATCCAGATAATACGACTGAATTTTAGTCATGTAAGGTTTTTTACCTGAATTCTAATTGGACTAAACACCGGTCCAAGTGATCCACGCACGCAGGCCCCAAGTTCCGAAAGTGAACTTTATCATTTGGATTCCTCGAGCAAACTTGGCCCCGGGTGATCGACGTCGACGCAGCTCAGGAATCGCGTGGCCCTGTGCAGTGTGCGCCGTACTCGGGCTACGTGGAGCAAGGAGGGCAACTTATAAAACTAAAAAGGCCGAACCATTGGACGATGGTGACGGGTAACAGCGAAACGTGCGTTGCCCGCCGGAGCATCCGTGATGCCGCAAGGCGATGCGTTCGGCACGTCGGTGACGCCCGCTATGACGTACGCACTCGGCATATCTATCTATCAGGCTCGCCGGCGGCGGCTCGGAGTCTTTCTTTCGTCCGCGCCGCGCCTCCCTCCGACCAGATAGAACCTGCACTGCACTCTCCTTGGAGGCTTGGACCTTGGGCAGTGGCCACTCTGGCCGGGTGGGTAACTAGTACTGATCTGATCTCTGCAGAAGATGAGAAGAAGGTGGGTGTATGCATGTCAGCATGTGCATCCTGGAGAGGATAAACTACTTTGCCTACTGGCACTGGCCACTGAGAGCGTGAGTGAAATAGAAATCTCAGCCGCCGGGTAGAGGACACTGTCAGGGGTCGCCTTGGCGTGCCAAACTGCAACTGCCGCTTCGTTGTTCGTTTGCCCGTGCGCAGCGGCGCTGCCGTTAGTGCCTACGCCGCCTCGGCTACCTATCTAAAAAAGTGAAAAGTCGCGGGAGAGAAGAAACTGCCGAGGAAGAATGGGGAAGAAGAAACCCGTGCTGTTTTATACGGAGTATACAGTGTATGAAGAAGAAAAGGTGGTGATTTGATTATGGTTGGATTACCTGACAGGGACGTAAACATCCGGTGCGGACTGCACCAACCTCAGCGCAACTAGTATCCCTCAATTTCGGCTCGTGCGTGATTTGCGTACCGCGGACGGGCACTGCTAGTCTTTACGGTGCTGTTTGTTTCTGAACTAGGAGTGGTTCTTCAGGTCAATTCAACTCTGAAACGCAAGCATCGGTCGTCGCCGGGAGCGGCGAGCAAAATCGCAGACCGGACTCATGGTTAATTCAGCCACGAGCGAGGACCTTTTGAGTTGGTAACGCATGGATTTTTTTTTTAATTTGACTTGGTGGACTCCAGCAACACGTGCTCTTTTTTTTTTTTCTTTTCCCGTTGTTGTTAATATAAACGGTTGACGAGTAATGATCCATGCCAATGAGTTATAGGACTAGTATAAGTACTACACTAGTACCCCTGTACACTGTAGGTAGAGCGTGCTGTGCTGTTTTAAACTTAGTCGTACGAAACGAACGCACATGCCCAATTTGCCAAAACCAAAACACGTGCCAGATCCGTCACGCCGAGCGTACGTACGCCTCCGGACGGTTGAGCCAGCCTGCCTAACGGGCCATCAATTAGGAACAGAGCTATGGGAATAGATGGAGCCGCAACGGAAAGATATTAATAAAACTGAACTGAACGTGCCAGTGATTAAAGCAAGCAGAGGAGATCCAACTGGCCAAAAAAAATTGCAAAAATGACACTCAAAAGATTGACTCCTTAATTACGATGACACTCGGGTGGATGATAAGTGGGTCCATCTGTGTCTATGAATGTGAGTTCAGTGTCAAATCTGCAAACGACCGATGTTTCGAGTCCTATTTTTGCAAATCGCCGAGCATCCAAGGCGAAAGGAAACCATGCTCATCGCGTGGCAGCCTAACAATAACTAACAAACCAGCGATGGAGCGCTGATACGATGTGTGTCATCGTCACATATCGCGCGTGGAGGGATCAACTCGCCGCCGCCGGTGTCCAGCAGAGGATGGATGAAGAGCAGATCAAAGGGCACGATGCCCGCGTCCTAGCACCTGCCCGTGCTCTTGCTTCAATTCTTGGGGGATATCGAGATCGATTTTTTTTTTAATTTTTAACACTTTTTGTAAATTAATTTTAAATCTAACATTTATTTTTTCAAAACTAATACTTTTGACCGCGCCTATTGCCATGCGCGCGGCGAAACGCCTGTGCCGCGCCATGCATGGTGACCGGTGACGTGGCAGGGTCTGTTGCGCCACTGACCACGGCGCGGCAGTGACGCGTCTTAGCCCACGGCGCGGCAGGACCTGGACGCAGACAGAAGATCGGCTGCTGTCGGTGAGGATCGGCAGCGACGCGACCATGGACCCCGGCTTCGCGTCGCAGCTGAACGGCATCTGCAGCTCCGACCCCAACGCCTTCGCCTTCCTCGACCCCTCGCCGATGGGCTCCGAGCAGGTGCTCTAGGCTAGTCCGACATGAGGTCGCGCAGCACGATCGACTACTGCGTGTCCAACTAGGGTGCCTTCTTCGGCGATTTCGTGGCGGCGATGACCAAGCTCGGGAGGATCGGGGTCAAGACGTCGGCCACCAGTGACGAGATACGCCGGGACTGTCGGTTCCCGAACTAGTTCCGGAGCATCCCAAGGACACTAATGCACCTGAATATTTCGTAATTGAGTTAGGCTGTGATATAGCGTACATCGAACAAGACACATGTATGATAGTAAAGAGAGCGTAACCTGGTGCTGTGTCAGGACGTCGAGATCGTCCGTGTACTCCCTGTACTTACGCCTCGCATTCCCTCTAACTAACTCTGCTTCCGTCTAGATATACAGAGCTGTAGGGAGTGTATCATGTTCGTTCTATTGCTGCATTGAACACGATAATGAATTAGCCATTAATAATTTTATCATATGTAACTGCCTTGAAGAATATAGTGAACCGAAGTAATTACCGGTAAACTAGTACTAAGGGGCCTCCCAACGAGCCATCATTCCCAACACCAAACCTGGAGTAGGTAGGAGCAACCCCCAAGGTTCGTATACCCTGAGGTGCGACGACAGGCAACGCATAGCTGTCGATACGTCCATGCCAGGACTGCGCTGCCCCAGCTGTACGCCGCTATGTTCTTCCACGGCTGGTATAGTATGTCAAGAAAGATCCAGCTGATGGTGTTGTCCGAGGCGTTTGGGAAGAGGAAAGCACCAAGGAAGTGTCAGAGCTACACTCTAGCGAACCTGTCGATCACAGCCTCATCAGTCTGTGGGTCCAAGTAATCAAAGCGCTCTGTGATTCAGGATGACGAAACACCGGAGATTTTTCTGAAATTCACCAAAGAAAATGAGCCCCGATGACTGCTGGAAAGCAATGCAAGTATTAAATAGGCCTGAATTGCTCACTTATTTTTCTTGAAAACCTCGTCGTCCGGTGAAAGAAAGCCAGTGAATTGAGTCACCAACTCCCTCCGGTGATCGTTGTTAACTATACCTGTCACTGGAAGTCCCCCAACCGAAGGCGAAAGATAGCCTTCTGGTCAAAGTCATCTCGCCGCAAGGTAGGTGAAACACGTGGGTCTCAGACCTCCACCTGTTATAAGAATAGAACGACTGTTAGTTGTTTCAAATTTGTTATAAGAATGTTTACGTACAAAGAAGACACTCGCACCTGTCTACAGCTGCAGTAAGTAGTGCAGGTCAAAGGGTGGAAGATCGTAGTTGACAATACGGACAAGCCTGAGAAAGTCGGCATGCCGTATGTATGGCGCGTAACACTCGTCCCACTGGTGCGCCCTGGTGTGCGTGCGGGGCCTCAAAGAAGGCAAGGCTACCTGTACGTCGGTGTCACTTAAGATGTGTGCTCGATGCTGATCGTCGTACTCCACCTCAAGAAGAGGGTTAAACGGGTGCTGCGTGGGATGGGTCAATCTGTTACAAATTGATTAAAAAGGGTTAGAGTATTAAATTAACAATATTTAAATTAACATTATGTATCATTACAAAATTTGAACTACTTGTTATACAATACGAACACAATATGAAAGCACATGTATATATTCAAAGTAACATTAACAGACATATTAAACAAATTCACTAGAAAAAGAAGCAACTTCTATGAAAGGACCTGCTGTCCACCAGTGTTTTTTATTAAATTATTACAATAACTTGTCTGCATCTGCTAGAGCAGCTCATTATAATTTTAACTTAGGGATGTGTAGCCCAGTATAAGATGAATTGATTGAGAACTATCATGTGTGTCATACTTAGTCCTATACTCTATACTAATATGTCTAAAAATAAAAGCTGTCTATTTTTTTCGCACAATGCTATGATGGACTTATAGCAGTACGATATCGACGATGTTTTGCATGATTTTGGAGGTTATAGTGCTTTCAATATGTGCTTGAGTAAAATAATCATTTGGATTAATATTTTCATATAAGAAAACAAGCATATAACAATTTAAATCATTAAAAACTCAACCAACTAAATTTGTCGCTATATATATATATATGCATCCCTAGTGCACAAAAAACACATAAATAGATTTATATTTCACGTGCCTTTTAACTAGACATTTGTTTTCGCTATAATTAATAATACATTGTAAGAAAATTAACAATTAAAGTATGTAAATAATAATACAATGCAACATAAATTAACGGCTAAAGTATATTTTAAAAGAATCTCTCAATCTAATGACTAACGATTAATATAAAGGGGTAGTGAAGATATGAGGGTTTTGATTATGAAGAAATAGCCACCAAATTTTACCTCAACGATGGTTGAACTGCAGTGAGGGCGTCCGTGTCACGCCGGCGTCCGTGGTGCGGCGGTCGGCGGGCAGGCGTGGCGGCGGCGGAGGCACTGCGAACGCGGCGGCGGGGGCGCTGCGGGCAGGGAGGGCGGGCGGCTCGCGGGCGTTATTTATCTGGTCCTGCCGCGCCAAGATCGGTGGCGCGGCAGACCCTGCCACGTCACCGGTCAGCGCCCTGGTCGTCGCCACGTCAGTCTCCCGTCGCGCCACCATGCATGGCGCGGCACAGACGTTTCGCCACGCTATGGCAATAGGCGCGGCCAAAAGTGTTAGTTAAAAAAACAGTGTTAGATTTAAAATTAGTTTAAAAAAGTGTTAAAAAAAATCTCGAGATCTAGGGGCCATGGTAGGTCGCCCTCGCTCACCGGCGCCGCGCCGAACACCGGCCGGGTGCAGTTGGCACAGTGGCACGAGCGCGCGCGTGGCCACCGGTGACATCCGCACATAACGCGATATCGTGTATGTTCGGCACCAGATCAACGGGGCTTTGTCCCACGCTTGTTTTCCGTGTTCGCGTCACGGCCTTCAATTTCCTCCGGTTGCCTACAACGAGATGAGCTAGCCATGAGGCCGGCGAGGTCTCGATCCGAGGAAAAAGCTCGATCCATCCCTGCAGTTCCACGCTGGATCACCATACCTCGTGCCTCAGATCTAAGGCATTTGTAGTGCCACATGCCACGTTAGTTTTTTTTTTTTGACGAACCGAGCTATGAGCTGTGCTCAATTTGTTTTTTCTTTGTGAAACCAACTTGTCTGGGTTTAAGTCTTGTAGATTCTTGTCCTACCGACGAGTATCTTCGTCTATCATCCACCTTTTGGCCCGCCGGCGGCGCCACCGCCATACCGTCCGTCCATCAGAAAAGGGGCATCATGCGCCGAAGGCGAGGTTGCTGCAACGCATCGGATCTCCCACCCAAGATTGAGAATCTTGGCGTTGACATCCGGTAGATCAATTGATGTCCACTCACAGGCCCCGTTTAGATGCGAAAATTTTTGGCTTTTGGCTATTGTAGCACTTTTATTTGTATTTGGTAAAAATTGTCCAATTATGGATTATTTAGGCTTAAAAGATTCGTCTCGCCAATTACGGGCAAACTGTGCAATTAGTTATTCTTTTTACCTACATTTAATACTCCATACATACACCGCAAAATTTGATATAACGAAGAATCTTGAAAAATTTTGGATTTTGGGTGAGATCTAAAAAGGGCCTCAGACATGCAGCCTGGAGCAGCGGAGCACGACGAGCATGTGCAGACGTGACGTCATGCTGGCTCGTCGCCGTCGCGCCAGCATTTGATTGGCCGTTGGCCCTCTTCCAGCATGCCGTACGGAAAAACCGCACGGCGGAAGGACCTGCCTACTTTGCTAACGAGGGACGCTACGCTACGCTCGGATTGCCGTCGGCGCACGAGTTCGACCGTGACGAAGTTGGCCTCGGCGGCGTCAGTGGTGTGGTGCTTAACGAAATCGACTTCTTTCCAGCTGTCCGGTGCTCGCACGTTAGGCTTAGAGGTATAAGCACATGATGATGTACGGGCCGTGCGCCCGTGCCAACCAGGTGATCTCGAGAAGGAATTTTTTTTAACGAAATTCGTTTCATTGTTGTTGTTACTCTGTTTCTGTTACAAGCGCGGTGGGATTCCACCTTTTCTACCCCGTCGTCATCATGATCGAGCGGGCGTGGGATTTCCTTTTCGTGGACGCCTAAATGCATGGACAAGTAACTGCCCTGGCTAATGGTGGTGGCACCGGCTACCACCACTCCTGTAATGTGCGGCGGCAGATGTAGATGGACACTGACATCTGCGGCGGCGGCGAATTGGTGCTCCAGCTCTGCTGCATCTGACGGCTCCGCCCAGACGAAGTAGTCCGCAACGGCAGCCGCCGCCTCCGTCGCCGCCGGTGGTGCGTCGACGGTTTCCGAGCGGTCGTCCTGGAGGTCGATCCAGCCTTCCTCGGAGTCCCAGTCTGGCAGCGCGGAGGCGGCGCACGCCAATGCCCCGATCCTCTCGGCCGCGCCCGTCGACATATCGTCCGCTTCGTCGTCCTCGGTGTCCGAGTCCCAGAACGCGTCGTGCAGGGTGCTCTTTGGGGACGGGAACGACGGGAAATCCTGCTGCTTCGCCGGCTGCGCGTCCAAGTCGCTGGCGGCGGAGGCGACGAACGGGTGCACCACGAGCTGCGCGGCCGTGGACCGGGCGCTGGCGTGCCTCTCGAAGCAGCCGGCCAGGAAGTCCTTGGCCTCCGCCGACAGCCACGCGGGCACCTCCGGCACGGCGTCCGTGTACCCGATCTGGTGGATCGCGGCGAGGAGGTCGTCCATGTCGCTCCATGGCGCGCGCCCCGTGGCCATCTCGATGACCATGCACCCGAGCGCCCAGACGTCGGCGGCGGGTCCCTGCTCCTGCCCGCGCGCCACCTCGGGCGCCATGAACGCCGGTGTGCCCCCGATGGGGCGCGTCGACGAAACAGTCCTCGCGCACCCGAAGTCGGTGAGCCTGGCGCGACCGTCGCCGCCGATCACCACGTTCCTGGCCTTGACGTCCCCGTGCACAAGCGACAGGCCGTGGAGGTACGCCAGCGCGCGCGCCACGTCCCCGGCGTAGGCGCGGATGTCGCGCTCGGCCAGGCGGCCCCGCTCCTCCTGGCGGCCTCGTCGGCGAGCGACCCGCCGGGCGCGAACTCGAGGAAGAGCTGGTACTCGCCGCCCGCCGCGGCGCGGGAGGAGCCCAGGCAGGGCACGATGTGCGGCGAGGACAGGCCCTGCAGGACGCGGCCCTCGCGCTGCAGCTGCGCCGCGGCCCCCGCGGCGCACGCCGACTTGACGGCTAGCAGCTCGCCCGAGGCCTCGTCGGAGGCCAGCCACACCACGGCGCCCGACGCGCCGCGGCCCAGCGTGCGCACGCGCCTCAGCTGCTTCGTCATCGTCATGACCATGGTTGGATGGAATTCGGTCTGCTTTGCGTCTCCCGCTGTGGAGTCTGAGAGGATGGAATTGCAGGAAGAAGCGGATGGGAATTATGATGGTGCGATCTGGGCATCTGGCGAGGGGAGGGGGAGGGGGAGGTCTATTTCTACGGGCAGCGCCGGGGCGTGGAACACGTGCGGAAACCGAGCGGGGGGATGAGGGAAATGGCCGCGTGCGTTTGTTTCTGCGTGCTGCGCGCGGCTGCCTGTGAGGGAAAGCCTCTCGTCGCCCGCCTACCAGTGCCCGCCCGCCCGTGTCTGCAAAGGAAGGTGCAACGAACTTGTAGGAGCGGATCCGGTCGTGGGTTTTCGGTCTGTTTCCGGAGTTTTTCCTGCTGCCTTTTACTACTTGCGACGACGGGTCCTGATCATCGGCCGCGGCCTCGCAGCCGGGCAGGTGCATCCTCTCCACACTTGGCCGCCGCCCGGGTCTGATTGGCAGCCACGTGCAGAGCTGGCTGCTGGGTCGCCTCAGCAAGTGCGTCACTTGTCACCAGTACTAGTTCCGTTGCCTCTCTCTCTCTCTCTCTCGCTGCTCCAGCGGATAAGGCCTGGATCTGATCTGGAAGGAGTGAAGGACTGATGAAGTGATGATCCGTCGCGTTACGCTCTCTCTTTTCTTCTATCATCAATCATGCTGTATACCTTCATGGGTAACGTCACGGCGCGGTTTGCGGTTTCATCATCGATCCCAATTCCTCTCGCGACGTGGATGCGTTCCGGAAAGAGGGCCTGGCGTCTCAGGCACAGCACGTTTTTGTTCGGCAGACGGCAGGCGCGAGTGCGAGGTGTCGACTTACGCTGACCCCGGCCAGCATATTCCGCCGCCGTTTAGAGGATAAGCTCGCCGCATCTTTCATCTTCCATGTGCTCGGGCATGCGGTTTTGGCTAAATCATGGTTACGCAATTTATTTCTTTCTGCGGAGCGCTTTACACCGTGAGCACATGCACGGCATCATGTCAACGAATCTTCCTGATTAAAATAGATTTATAGAGTTATTTTAAATCAAACTTTTTATACTTTGACTAAATTTTTTAAAAAATATGTCGAGATTTATAACATTAAATTAGTATCATTAGATATACCATAGAATATATTTTTATAATATGCTCATTTTATGGCATCGATGTTATTACTCTTCTCTATAAAGTTAGTTAAATTTAAGATAGTTTGACTTGTACGGAATCTAAAAATTAATTTATTTAGGGATCAGAGAGAGTATCCGTTGTCACCGTGGCGCGTCTACTCAAATCATGGCCAAAAGCTAGCTAGATCTTTCTACTGTTTTCCGAGGTAAATAAACCAACGCTAGATTACCGGAGTTAGATTTATTACTTCCTCCGGTCCTAAAACGCTAGCAGAATGGCTGCGCAAATTGCACGGACAGCTAGTTTTTTCTCATTAAATATTTAAACTTTTTCGTTTTCTTACTATTACTAGTTGGAGACTACACGTTAATTTTTACCAGACGTGTTTGAGAAAAAGATAAACTCTTAAAATTTTCACCATAATTAGAAGCATCTGACCTTTAATCTGGTAGGTTTTAATCGTGACCTTGAATAACAACAAATAGGTCTATTCTCTTATATAAAAATTTAACCACCACTATCATTATGAAAATAAATGAAGTACACCCAATAAATTTGCATAAAAAATAGCCACCTCTGTCATTATGAAAAGTAATTTAAAACAAACCTCTAAACATGTATCTAAATTACCCATGTTTATCACTATGAAATACATTGTGAAGATAATTCAAAATAATCCCCTAAATTTGTATCTAAACTACCCACATACGCCATTATGCAAGATAATGTAAATTATTCCTAAAGTTGCATTCAAATTACCCATATGTGTTATTATGAAAGGTAATACAAATAACATCTTTTAATTTGTATCTAAATTATTTACATCACCTATGACAAAACAATAAACAAAATATCTCTTAAATCCACATGTGTAAACACTAATATAAGCCATTACAAAAACTAATTTAGTATTCATAAAGTATATTATATATATTTCTAAATTACACACTTCTACCATTATTAAGTTAAAGTTAAACATAATGTTGTGTTCTACCATGTAGACCTAAGTAAACATCTATACCTGAGGATAAATATTTATTTTGATAGCTCATCAAGTGTGGAGAAATGTACCATTAACAAACCACATAGCAATGGCACTGACAATTTACTTTAAACAAATTATATTAATACTCCATGATAATAAATTATTTAAGTTTTTGTTTTAAATAAGTTTATACATATGGCAAAAAATTGCCAATTAATTCTCCTAATTAAAATTCAAAACCCTATGTTTTATAAAATAATACTACTACCCAAATTTGTCGATATAATAAATTCAACATCTTGGATGACACGGTGCATGCTGAAAACAACTATTTATGCTAATGTAAGAACTGAAAGGGTAGCCTAAGATTTAGAATCTTCTTTAATAAAATATTTTTTGAATAAAAGATATGATAAGCATTAGAGTTTCAACTTAACATGCTGTTTGAAAAATTGCTACGAATAGATTAAAAATTTAAATTTAAAATATAGATTCATAAGTTTATGTTTCAACTAAATAAATATCACACTAAGAAAATAAATCCTAAAAATTCTAATTAAAGGCTCTCAGTGGAACTTTCACGTCTCTGTATCAGGAATTTTGGTTTGTCAAACTATCTGAAGTCCGATCAAACGTATATAAAAGAACATCAATATTTATGACACTAAATTGGTGTGTTATAAAAATATAGTGAATCTAATGATATCTGTTCAGTATCAAGGTCTAGCAAGTGATGCAGTACTCTAGCAAGTGACGGGTGGTCCTTGCCACTACCGCAGGTCCACCCACAACTCACAAGTGCACCATGCCAATCATACTTGCGTTGTTGTAAAGAATTCCAACTCGACGTAATCTGCTTATTATTGTATCCGCAAGAAAGCTCAAACAACTCCTCAGACTTCTTTACGTAAAGTTCCTAACGCCAACCGCCCAACCGTACTTCACCTCTCCAGACTACTGACCCCCATTTGTATTTCTAGTTAAACCTGCTGCTTACAAATCCTTGTTGCTTTATGCACGTGCGTGCGAGTTTTGTCTACAAACCAAATTTAAGCGGGCCTTCGACTAGAGCTGCCTGCCTGACTTGCAAAAGCTTGTATTGGAGGACGGCCGTTGAAAACATTGCTGCTTGGGGATGAATAATTGGCCAGTGAGATTCTTAATTTTTTACTTCTCCTATATTTTAGGTTCCTGATTTTTTTATTGTTGTTCAGAAACATGTAACTTTATTATTGTTTGACTATAATTTTTTTATATAAATTATCTCTTGTGAGTTGCTCTTTAGTTGTGCTACTAATTGGTTGTCCATAATTGTTGCTTGAAAATTTAGCAACTTGAAATATTGCAACTCCTTAATTTTTTTTTATCATCAAGGTTCAGTTTCGCATGGTGAACCGGACGTCTCAGCCAATCTAAGCTGAATGGTGACACGGAACACAGCTCAATTCTATTTGAGTCGTTGGATGTTGATGCTGACGAAGTGATGATGGTTCAGAAAAGTCACAGGAAAATGTACACGATTCCAACTTACACACTTAAAAAATTAGGCACTCTTTTTTTTCATATTAAGAGAAACGAACAGTAGTGTTCAGATACCATCTTACCATCTATTGAAATAGAGGATCTAACATTGGAACACATCTCCTATACCATAGGCATATGAAATCAAGATTGATTTCAGACGCCGCTCTTCTAGCTGACGAAGCATTCATGTTCGGGTCGTTTGTGCTCTGTGGGCTTAGGAATTAGAAAGGGACATGGAGAAGGCAGGCTGGCCAGATAGATGGTATTGGAGATCAATTATTCAGAGGGAGAGCAAACAAGAAAACGCTAATTACATTTATAACGAACTAGCCGTGTTTCAGCCCCCTCTCCCATCGCTGCACAGGGACAACTCGGCAAGCCGTGTTTGCGCGGCGGAGGGAACGGACTAGACATGGCGGCAGGAGACTACCGAGAACGGAGGTTAGCCAACAGTAGGCAGAGGCACACATGAACTGCGTGGGGCTGATGTTGAAGAATAGCTCAAGGTAGAAGATGAACATAAACCATTGAACCTAAATTAATCTATCAATTTCCATGTCCGAATGTAACAAGGTAGGTCAAGGATTGTGCTACTACTACATTTGTCCGTCAATTGTAGCATTCAGATCGAACCCTTGAGCGCTTAGTATTATATTTACACTAGGTGGGAACGTCGAAGCAACATCCACGCAAAATGTCACGAAAATGTCCAAATTGGCACGAAATCAAATTTATCTTCTACTACTGGATTACAAGGACAATCGAGTTCCCCAGCTTCGCCCCGGCAACTGGCAACCGGGCGCAAATACTCTACATTGCTGCCTACAATAACCCTAAAATGTGTCTGCCACTTGACAAGATCAGCAGCAATTCCTACATTTCTGCCTGCGCTCATCCTAGGATGTCTCTTGCACTTAGCAAAATCATCTCTAATTCCTACATTGTTGCCTACCCCTGCGCTGGGATGTTTGTGGCACTTAACAAAATCGCTGAAAACTCCTACATTTCCTCCTGCGTGGACAGGCGAATGTCTCTTCTGGCACTTGCTGCAATTATTTCTTACTCGTACACTGCATGTAGCAAATCTACTGGCTCCTTCCACGACGACGACGTGGAGATCATCAACCACGGCGGCATCCAACGCTCCACTACCTACGGCAAAACCAGCGCCGGCCGTCACCGTGTCGGCCGGTGCCTCGCAGACCCGGGAGCACTGGCCCCACACTTGGATCCAGCCTTCCTCGAAATCCCAGTGGGGCAAGCCCGAGCAGAGGCTCGCCAAAGAGCTGATCCTTTCGAACGCTCGCTCAGAGGTCTCCTCGTCCTCGTCGTCGGACTCCCAGAATGCCGCATTGAGCGTGCTGTTGGGGGACGCCCAGTCATGCTTGGTCGGATCGGCATTGCCATTGCCATTGCCATTGCATGAGGCGGACGCGAGGAACGGGTGCTCCAGCAGCTGCGATGCGGTGGGCCGCTTGCGGGGGTCTCTTGCCAGGCACATGAGCAAGAAGTCCTTCGCGTGCGCTGGCAGCCACGCGGGCAGCTCCGGGAGCTCGTCGGTGTAGCCGATCTTGCGAACGGCGGCAAAGACGTCGTCCACGTCGCTCCACGGCGCACGGCCGGTGGCCATTTCGATGACGGTGCAGGCGACCGCCCACACGTCGGCCGCCGGCCCCTGCTCCTCCCCGCGCGCCACCTCCGGCGCCATGAACGCTGGGGTCCCGCCGATTGGCCGCGACGACGGGGACGGCTGCTGGACAGACCTCGCGCACCCGAAGTCGGTGAGCCTGGCGCGGCCGTCTCCGCCGATCACCACGTTCCTGGCCTTGACGTCTCCGTGCACCAGCGACCGGCCGTGGAGGTACGCGAGCCCCCGCGCGATGTCTCGAGTGTACGCCTGGACAGCAGGCTGCGCGAGGCGGCCCCCGCTCTGGGCTGCCCTGTCGGCCAGCGACCCGCCGGGCGCGAACTCGAGGAACAGCTGGAATCCCCCGACTGCGGCGGCACGGGAGCCGAGGCAGGGCACGATGTGTGGAGAGCGGAGATTCTCCAGCACCTGCTCCTCGCGCCGCAGCTGCACCGCCCCGCCGGCGCCCGCGGACTTGACCGCCAAGAGCTGCCCCGAGGCGTCGTCGGAGGCCAGCCACACGACGGCGCCTGACGCGCCGTGCCCGAGCGTGCGGACTAGCCTGAGCTGCTTCGCCTCGGGGCATCCATGTTTTTCCGTTGTGAAGTTCGGGAGGATCGGGAAATGGCGTGTGAAAGCTTTGCGTTTGGAGCTGGCGCCTTCCTGGAGTGACGACAGGGTGGGGGTGGTCTATTTATACGGGCCACCCGGAGGGGCACATGGAACACCTGCGGATGGATGCCGAGAAGCGAGTTCCGGACTCCCGGGAAGAAGAATTTAGGATATCGGCGGCGTGCGTCCCGTGCGCGGCTGCCTGAAGGCCTTCGGCCGGCGGAAGGCGTAACGAGCTTGTAGGCGCCCGATTCTGGTGGTTCTTTTGCCGCACTTTTCCGGCGTTTCTCCTGCTGCAAGCTTCTGACGGGTATTGCTCGGCAGCCGCCGCAGCCTCAGGGGCCGGGAGCTGATTGCTAATTCGCGCACCCCCTCCCATTATGGGCAGTGTGAATCCAAATGCTCACGTTATTCACCCTCTCCAGTCTCCATGCATTTTCATTCTTATTATAGTTGAATTTTTTTGAAACAATCTTTGGACAAATTTGCTTAACTTTACAATTAAACGAAGTTAAAACAGGCGGGCACATTTTCTCTCAACCGATACTGGTGACAAAATTATGCTGATATTGGTAACAAATTTATTGAATTATATTAAACTTGTTTTATAGCTGTATTAATCCGAAAGTGATGCAACACCCGGTTGTGATGGGCCAAGAGAAGGTCACTTCCATAGTAGTGCATCTTGGACTTGCAATTCTACTCCCTTATTCAATGTGGATTACTGCAACTTAAATTTTATATGAATATGATTGAATATGTAAACAAGGCAATGATGATCCACATCGAGATGAATATTATTTATTATCATCATCTTTAAAAAATGCAATTCTAAGTCTTGTCAAAGTCAAACTATTTTTAAGTTTTACTAAATTTATAGAAAATATTAATGTATGCCTTCAAAGTTCAAATAGGTATTACTATAAAATATATTTTATGATGAAACTAATAATACTTATCTAGTATGATAAATATCAGTATATTTTCAAATAAATTCTGCCAAATTTAAAATTAATTGATTTACCACATGTATTTACTTTGATCCTTTCCCTAGTGGAACCGAAAACATCGTATGATGCTGAGGATACCACCTATTCATATAGGTATACATAGGCTAGCTGAAAGATTAGCTTAATGTATGAACTTTAATTAGAAATGTTTTAGTGCTCATGCCGTTTCTTTACCCAGTAATAGTGACCCCACCATCAATTTTATGCATTTTGTTGCCGGGCCAGGACGGTGGCGGCAAGGATCCTATGCTCTCATCGCACATTCTTCTCCCAGGCATGCTTGCCCTGTCGTGACTCGTCTTTGGCTGCCGTGGCCTCGATCCGGTGGGTCCTAAGTCAAATCTGGCATGCCCATGGCCACATTTCGCGCCTCCTCTGGCTTGCTCTTGGGGCAAGCCTAGGTGCTCAGCGAAGGTGGATGTTGTGACGGCGCGGTTGCTCCAACCGTGCGTGGCTACACATCTGCGGTGTCCGACGGTGAGCCTGTGTGCACGCAAGGATGGCGGGCTCGGCAGCCTCAGGTCGTTGCAGCGTGTGAGGTGGTTGGATCTGGCCTACGGGCTAGATCCGGCATCGTGGGTTCGTTTCTACAGCGGTAACCGAGTTGTTCGACGAGGGCCGATGTGTCTACCTGTGGCCGCTTAAGCACTCAAAACACAAAGGATTTATCTCAGTTCGAACGTCTAAGCCATACATCCAGCAGTGGTATTTTTCGTGTTAGGAATGCTCAATCGAGAGTTCTTACAATGGAGGTCGAGATAGAGATGTAGGGGTAGCTCTATGCTAATCTAGGGTTTGGTTGGTCTCGATCTCCTTGTTTGAGGTCCGATCGCCCCTACGGAAGCCCATGCCTTCCCTTATATACCGAGGAGGCTATGGAGTACCAAATATATGGTTTCTCGCTCTATGCTTCGGGCTACTTCTTAACGGTGTCGCTCCTCCTTTGCCCTGTAGCTGGCGGATAACGCCGCAACCGCCTTTTGATGCTGTTGTTGGTGCCTGGCGCTAACCATCATGTGTTGTTTTGCTGCCACGGTGCCTTCCCTGGGTGCGCCTTCTTGTGGCTTGTGTAGTACGACAGACTTTCGCTCTTGCCTGGAGGGGGCTGTCGTGCAGGGGGGCGGAGCTCTCCACTACGCAAGCACAGAGGATCCCGTGTCTTGGAGCGTCAGGCCCCGGGCGTGACTCTATCCCTAGGAGTGGCCAACATTGCCTCGGTAGAGGGGAAACGGGTGTCAGGCAAGGCTTGATGCCCTGCTGTTCTGAACGCATATCAGGCTTCGTAAGCCTAGTAGACCCCGAGGTCTGTCCCTAAGATTAGGGCAACCCCGTCAGGTGGTTGAGACGGCCACGGCTGGCTCCTATGGCACTCTTGTACGGAGTCCCTGAATAGGGGCTTGCCTTGCCGGGGCCTGTCCGGGTGGAGCGGTCTTGTTGTCAGGACCCCCTGGGTCAGGAACTCCCTTCGTCCTGGCCGAGCCCCAGAGCCCCTAGGTGAGGGCGGTATGTTCGGGGATGCGCCGCGGCCGAGCGTGCGGAGCCACCTGAGCTGCTTCGAGGCGGCGGTGTCCATCGTTTGTTTGGTCGGAGTCGGAGGAGAGATTTGGATGGATGGCGCCCAAGTGTCTCCGAGGGGGAGAATTGGGATCGGGGGAACCAGGCTTGATCTACCGGATGAACTTCACACCCGATATGTAATGCCCCCGTGTCCTGTCCCCCTCTTGCGCGTCTCTGTCCCGGTCTCTCCTCCTTGTCCTCCCTTCCGTTCTTCCTCGGAGCCTGCGCCCGCCTATTTGTACATCGGCGTCCGGATCCTCCGCACGTGACGAGCGCGAAAACGTGCGGGAAGTGAGCCAGTGGCAGGGGACCGCGCGACGCGCCCGACAGCGCCAAGGCCCAAGGTGACGGCGGGGCGGGGTTGTAGCTGCAGTGGATGGGCCAAATCGGCCCTGTCGTTCTGGGCGCTCGACCGATTTTTTCCGGCCTGCGGCGTGAAGGATCGGAGACTGGGACGTGGTAGGCCGTAGGCACCCACCACAGGCCACGGCACGGGTCCGCATCGGCGCATATTCCGTCCACGTTTTCGTTGCTGAAATGGATGTTTGCCTTAGCTCAAGTCTGAACTCACTGCAAATTTTCTTCAGGAAAATCAGCACGCCTTTTCCGACGTCGAGTTGCTGCATTGGATGAGACTCGGTACAAGAGCATCTCCAGCGGTACGTGAAAACTCCAAACCCAAAAACTATTTATTTGAGGAGATATAAAACGTGTTTTAGGGTTTTGAATGTCTTCTCTCTAGCGGAACGAGAAAATCCAATCGCCAATGAGAAGAATAGTGGATTGGGGGAGGAGAGGTCTCCCCTTGATTCGAGGAGTGGGAGGCTATGATTTGAGGGACTGAGAAAAAATTTTCTCATTGGGATTGGGCTTGGGAAACTGCTGAAGCTACAAAATCTCCAAAATAATAGTTTTTTTTCTTATCGGGGTTAGAAAAGGGGACAGCCGGAGATACTCTAATTAGATCTCAGTAGTAGTAGTCACTACACATGGGGTTGAAAACCTGCAACCATTCTTGTGTAAACAGAGGGAGGTCAGCACACGTGCAGTCGTGCTGATATGTGATCAGACCAATAGACCCAGCAAACCTGATAGAGTAGGGGTAGCAAATTACTCGAGCGATGACGTCAGTCTCGCGCTTTCTCTCATGCAAAAGCCGAAGGACAAAAAAAAAACACTCTCAGGCTGCGAGTTGCCAAATGGAGCGGCGAGCGCAGGAACAAGCGTGGACGTTTCGTTTCGTCCCCTTCCTCGTTAGCAGTCGGCAGACGGCACACAGGTGAGGTGAGTCCTGACCTGTCCTGGCCCCGGCGGCGGCCCTCTCCCGGCGACTTGGCGGCCGGCCTCTCCGCTGCGGTCTCACTTGGCCGTTGGAATATCCAACAGACTGGATCCTGGTCCTTGTCCTTCCAAGAGGTCAACCCGGCTGATGATCCATCCAAAAGGTTCGTGCACACAACACACGCCCTTTGGCGTTGGCGATCTCCCCCTTTTGCCTTTCTTTGTGAAAGTTCGACGCACGTGTCCTTTTCAGCAAGTGCATTTCTGCACTGCAAGCGGGCTGCTTGACGGCCCTGACTGATGTGATGGGGACGGGGACGTGGACGTCCAGGCGCGATTAGCGTTGGATAACGATCGGCAAGATGGGGACAAAAATAAATATCACGGATCAGTCGGTTACCATTTTCTGATTGCACATCGGCTATGCTCAAGATTTTTCAGATACCTGGGACTTCCAAATCGCCTTCTTTCTTTACATAACCTTTTTTTTTTTAGAATTCTTTACATAACAACTTGCTTGTGTTGAAGAGCTAAAATGAACTTCTTCTTCCTTTTGTACTACAAAACCATTTGCCTGCTGGAAGAGGCAAATTTGTAACTTTGGCCTGCATGGAGGACAATATGTCTATGAAATGTTTGTAAAACGAAGGGCAATGACAACTAAACTACTACCATCGAAGACTAAAATTGGGTAAGGTCTGATAATAACCTTTGTGTTTCTGCTCTATATATACTGCCTGAAAAGATGAACGAAGAATTCAGCAAAGATCAGACAGAGTTATAATATGTTGCTCATCATGTGCAAATTATTCCTTGCCGGGCTGCCCGGCTCGCCGTTCACGATGACCTGTCAAGTATGAGAAGCGAGAAAAACTGTACAAATAATTGTGCACAAGGATATATACTGGTTTTGTCAAAATCAACACAGGGTTGGATTTCTTTTTCAGCGTGTCTCCCAGCACAGGAATTTGCAAACAACGGCTACTTTTGGTTTCAGTTTTTCTTAGTTCTAACTCCTCAATTAGGGCTCTAACACTCGAGATAGGAAATGGGACGGAAGGAGCGGACTGTTGACTTGACTGTCATGTTGTAGTTGAATATAGGAAACGCGATGATAAACAGTCTGAAGCTTTTCAACAGCACGTTGGGCTTGACTCGAGGGAAAACATGCATGTACTAGTGGGGGGGTGGGTATCTTTGGCCATGAATCTGCGTACTGAATGTGGCGCCTTGGAAAGCCTAGCGCACGTTTATGTGGGCTCTATAGGCTCTCTTTCTTTTTCCCTACAAAATCTATTATGCCGATTGAGCGTGGAGTGGTGTCCATTGCTGTGCCATGGCCTCATGGTCATATAAAATCCTTCAACATGAAACAGTCGTATGAAACCAAAGTATGTTCCTCACTGGTTTAGTTATTGTTGACACTTAAATTGGGCATAGGCTAATTTAACTAGGCCCATAATAGTTTTGGTTCAATCTAAGGAAAACTCTATAAAGCAACATAATAATAGTAATACATTGGTTTTGCTAT